GCTTGTTTCGTTCTTTGGTGCCCTTTTCAAGGTAATTTTATAATAAAAACGTAATTCTATGGTGACAGTGTATTTATTTTGTTCATTCATTTATTCAAACGTACGGAAAACTATCCGTTGGCTTACACATATGTTGGTGTTTGGCCGAGCTTCTCCTCTGGATAATATGCTCCCAGAAAATCCAAACGCAATATTTTCACACAGTCTCCATCACGGAATTTTTAGAATATTCTGCTAATTAGCTGAGTGCGCCGCATTTGTACAAAAGTAAGCAATTGCATGAAAATAAAGCCGCTAGAGAAACGAAGAAAAGTTTTGCAAATTGTTTTACGAATAAAAAAACGTTTTCGTAGTAGATGTGCATTTCTTATCTTTATAAAAAAACAATTCATTTCTCCTCGTATCACTGTATTCTGGAACTAAATAAGGGGCTAAAGCTGACTTTACAAGGGTCAATTTCTGTAGACTGGAAAATCGACTAGCCAAAGCATTTACATTTTACGGTTGAGATGTCATTTACACGGGTCGATTTTGGTTGAACGACAAAAATCTACTAGAAAATCGACCCGTGTAAAGATGCCTTAATCCAGCGAGCAATTGTCATTAAAGTTAAAATGCCTTGGTTAAAATTAATAAAAAGTTATTTCATTCTTTCTTTACCGGGACAATTGTTACATCGGTGGGCAACGACGCAATTACAGAACTTTAGACAGAGCAATCTTTTTCGATCGGGTTCAAATCGTGTGATTGTGAGGGCCTATTCACGAATTTAAGTATATTTGCAAAGGTGCTATAGCTCACCAATGTAACAATCGTGTCGATAAAAAGGCAAAATATAACTTTTAATTTACTATTAAAAACCCCACCGCCTTTCTATTTGAGGAGTAAATTTGTTGACGCAACAAAACGGAGCAGATTTTCAGTTGAGCAGTTGAGTTGTATATGAGGGAAATTTACGCGTTTTGTTAGGTGCACAAAGTCCATGATTCAATAATACAAGGTTAGATAATTATTGGCAGCTGCGGTTTGACGCTCCCTTACAAAAGGTTGCATTTACGAAGGACAGAGAAAGGGCAAGAATGCAATGCCTTGTTTCGAAAATGGTAGTAGAAAAGTACGCAAAGTAGGCAATAAGTAGTGAAATTCCTTTCGTAAATTCTAATGTATTTGCAGGAAATCTGGCATTTTAAACGAAATGTTGAACGTAATATTGATATATCTACGTGAACTACGTAATTTATATGCTATTTAGCCGTATAAAAACTGCAAAATGACTCAAAATTAAAATAAAACTACTTTGAGACTGATGTAAACATCCAATGCTTATGTTTTCATCAGTTAAATATGCTTCATATGCATATACAAATAAACATATTGCACAAAAGCTTATACTTTTATTTCTCACCAAAGCTACACTGTTTCCATGTAAATTTGCAAAGAAGCAACACGGTGCCACTGCTAAGGGAGCGGTGCGAGAGAGACAACTGTCAGTTTATCGAACCTTGTATTATTGAATCATGCACAAAGTCAGTATTACCGCAGCCGTACTGCGATGACCATGATGTCACATTTGTGTGGTAGAATCTGGATAAAAATGTGGTAGATTTTAAACAAATGTGGTAGATCTCAGGTTTTGGATCAAATGTGGACAAAAATTAAAAAAAATTCTGCAAGGTTTGACCTAAATTGCAAACATTTTAATTAAAATCTAAAAAAAAATATTTTAGTATAATAAAGTGCAAGACAGAAGTTGCTAAAAATTGCGTTTAGTTTGGCATTTTTTCCCTTGACAGTGTAAAGCAGTTTCTTCCATACCAAGATATTTTTCGAACATATCGACCCCTTTGCGCAAAATTATCGTATGTTACATTTTTTACGAAATTTACTTTTTGACGCAACTTTGTTTTACAACCCATAACGTATCACCTGTTCAAATATACGGCTTAAATCCCAATAGCTACCCCAAAAATTTACTGTAAATTTTATCGTATGTGACAACGACTTTTTTCTTGTGGGCGAAATTATCATATGTGCTCACAAATTAGAATGTAGAGACCTTTCTACAAAAAATCTTGCGTTTAGTTATATTTTTCAATTATCTCACCAAATCTAAACTTTGGTATTGATGGTGCTAGCCAAAGCAGAGAAAAATACAAAAAATGCTTTCCCGTAAAATTTTGTTTTTGTAACATACGATAATTTTGCGCAAAGAGGTCGATATTTTAAGAGATTTCTGCAACCTTGCGGAGTGCTGCCAGCTTTTCTTTTTATCACATCACGATGTAGCGAACAAATGTGGCACGTTCCAGAAACCGCTGCTTGGTATTTGCCGATTTTACAAAACCCCCAGGAAAAAGTAAACAACGCTTTAGAAACTTTAGATACACTGAAGTTTGCTAATACTTTCACAAAAATCGCCGTTTTTTAACATTTTCGCTATTATTTCTTTTTATAAATCATATATTTTGCAATTTAACACAATAAAACCACGTTTCCTGTCGAAAAATTGATTATTGAGAAAATTTACTATTTTACAGTTTATTTTATCCTCCCATTCGGTTGTGTTGTTAGCGTTTAGTGTTGGACAGGTTTTGCTCTTAAAATTAAGAAAATTATGTCGAGCAAAAAAAAAACTCAAAAATGCGAATATGTGGTCGATTTCAGACCTTGTGTGTTAGATGTGGTAGATGCTCAAAAAAGTGGCAGATCTACCACAATGTGGTAGAAGTCCGATCACTGCCCACCTCTGGTGTACATAAGCAAAACTAAAACGGGAAATTAACTCTAACTCTTCTGTCTCTTTCACACTGAAAAAAAGTAATGACAGATGATGTAAATTATATAACCCGATTTCCTGCATGCCAATTGCGGCCATGCATTTGAGCGTAGTAGAAAAATGGGGAAAATATTCGGATTATTTTTACTACTTTTTGGGTACTATTTCCAATACTGATTTTTAATATATACATATGTACATATACACATATCAGTGGACTCCAAATCAGTTAAATGAAGCTTGTATCCATAAAATATTTTCGCTATAAACCAGTGTAATTAGAGTTAAATTTTTCGCTCATAACAAATTATTATTACTTAAATTTTATTTTTTCGATCAAATATAATGATTATAATAATTATTATTCAGTTATACTTTTCTACCTTAAAATTATTATTTGTGAAACTTAAAAGGCCACACAGTCGTACCACACACATATGATGTTAGTTAAAACTTACAAAAATAAGCACTATTTGCCGTCTTTCATTTATTCACATTGAATAAAATAAATTAAATGATAACGTTGTCTTTATTTAATTATTCTTAAATTCTAATAAAAATAACATGTTATAAGTTCTGAAGTATATGTATATGCGTACTTAGTTTTTAAATATTTTAACTTTGAAGGGAATTTTATTACGACCTTTATTTTCGTTATCATTTTAAAATAGCATACCTGAATTCTATAAGTTATATTATAAATAATTATGCGTTTAAATTGCTAGACCATCATCATAGCCATCTGGGGCAGTGCTCCAATAATCTGTTGGATATGTATAGTATATATACGGTGACCATATTTATGAGAGCCGAATATGGGAAAATAACTTAAGCTAAGGCTTACCAATAATTTTTTGCAATTTTTTTTGTTGACGGTGTTACGCAATTTTTTCATACATAGTAAGTATGATCGACCATTTTTTTTAAAAGAGAATTAAATCAGCAGGACTTTCTTTAATGAATTACAAAACTGCAAACCAAATTTTTTTCTAAAGATTCTAATTAAAAAGTTTGAAATTTTGTTGAAACCTTGCAGAATTAATTTTTATAGTTTTTTGCACAAAGTTGAAAATTTGGTATTATATGGTTTTTGTAAGGAAAACAGCTTTACTTTCATAAAATAAATAACAAACATTAAATAAACTAAGGAAAAATAGCAAAAATTTACTAAAATGTCGAGTCCCAATTTCTATTTTAATCACTGTATGTATTCCTCGATTCGAATCACAGTCTTTAGATTAGAAAATAATAACTGTTTATGGAGAAAATTAGTATCATATATCAACATCACTTAAAACTCGTTCATAGGCATGCCATTTTAATGAGCTGTTAAGGCGTCGAAACACCGAGTACAGGACATTAAAAGAAATACATAACATTTGGCGTCCCGTAAAAAATAAATAAATTACCAGGACAATGGGTCAAAAAAGAGGACTGTCCCGTATAATACAGGACGGATGGTCACCGTATGTATATATTTTAACAAAAATTGACTTACAAAATCACAATTATTGGAAGCTATCGCTCAGATTTTCCAATGAATTTGAAACGAAAAGTCAAAGCAAAAGCGAAACAAAGAAACAGTGATACTACGCATACCTTTTCACAAAATTGTCTGCTCCATTTTTTATTCCAAATTTTTACATTAGATTTCCTAAGCCTCAATCCCTGCGTCGATGCTACTATAGTCGATATTATATATATTTTATTTTGGTCCCGATGGGAGAGTTCAAATTCCTTTATAGAGACTCAAAAGATTAAACTTATTTGTTTTCATCTAATACCCAAATTCTATGCTACTATAGTCGAAGATATCATGATTGGAGTCGGTTAAGTTGTGGCGCATAGGGGTCAAAGCTAAGATTATCCTATGAAGACGTCTTAACCGACTCCAATCGGAGCCAAAATTTATATGTAATATCTTCGACTTTAGTAGTATCGATTTTTGGTATTAAATAAAAAAAAATATTTTTTAGTGGAATCCGGCCTTTGACCCTTATGCGACACGCCTTAACAGACTCCAATCGGGGCAAAAATGTATATCTGATATCTTTTTTAAGGACCACCCTAATGTATGTACAGTCACTTTATTCCTTGGCTGTGTTGTAGAGCGTTATTATTTAACAAATAAAATTATTATCGTTATTAAAATAGAAATTAATAAATATATTTTGAGTATTTATACTAAATTAAATTTTTGTTACAACCTCTTTTATTTGAACAGTTGATATCATATCACATTGAAACAAGTTCAGACCTTTGTTTCGATTTGGTTGTGGCTTACCTGCATGCATGCATCCTTATTGATGATGAGGATTATTTTGGCAGTAATGCTGAATTTTTTTCAAACACTTTTAAAGTAATTTTTCAAGGTAAGTAAAATTTCAGTCCAAACTGTTATGTTATGTTTGTTTTGGAATGCGTTGATATTTTGGGTAATTGTTCCGGTGGGAGTCATGAAATAGGGCTGATGATTGACCCGGGTAATAAGCTACCCGTGTACCCGAAAAAATGTGGACAGGTAAAATTAAGCTCATTTACGACTATATTCCGCAAACGAACGTATGTATGTGCAAAGGAAACTCTACAATAATCTTCCATCCCCTATGGTGAAAAGTTATATTATGTATCCGTATCTAGATTCTAAAGGTAGTAGCAATAATTTTACTTTTGTGGAGGACTATTTCCCGCGCCCACTCCTTATCGTAGGTTTTTATTTGATCCAAACGATATTTTCATTTCCCAATATCAGGCGCTCATACAAGCTTTCCATTTCTACGCACAAAATTGTTTGTATAATTTATAAAATTTCCAAAATTCTATTTTGTGAATTTCAAAGGCTTTTACAAACGGATTAAAAAGTTCTACAAACAAACTTATTACGTTCACATTGCGCTATAGACTCGAGTTTAAGTTTTTGTGTTTATGAACAACTTTCAAGCGTTCTCACTGTTGTGTTTAAGAAACTCGGAGTTTGATTGGACAATTATTTGCTTCTTCTTATTATATGGAGCTTTAACCGCCTGAGCGATTTTGGCTGAGTTCAACAAAGCACAGCAGTCATTTCTCTTCTTCCAAGTGAATCCAAGTCCTTCTCCTTTGGTCTTTCCATCGTAGTGGGGGCCCTCCTCTTCCTCTGCTACCACCAGCGGGTTCCGACTTGAATACTTTCAAAGCTGGAGCGTTGGATTCGATTCGAACGACATGGTCAAGCAAGTGGAGCGGCTGTATTTTAATTCGCTCCACTATGTCTATGTCGTTGAAAAGTTCGTGCAGCTCATCATTCCATCGTCTGCGGTACTCGCCGTGGCCGACGCGTAAAGGCCCGTAAATCTTCTATCTCCCGAATACTCCAAGAGCCGGCTCATCGGATGTTGTCATTGTCCATGCTTCTGCGCCATATACCAACACGGGCACAGAGCAGTAAAAATTTGCAATACATTTTTTTAGCAATCAATGATTGTGCTAGTAATACGATTACAATCAAAATTGATTGCATTTTTCTGATTGTAAAAACTACAATCAATTTAATTGTAAGCACATTTGATTGCAATGATTGTGATTGCAATCAAATCACTGATTCAATCAAACATTTTAATTGGAATATCAAAAATGCAATAATTTATTCATGCTTTTTTTAATAAAGAAATTTAGAGCGTAAAAGCAAAATAGAACGTGAAATTGAGTAAAAGAGAAAACTAGCAGAAAAAGTTATTGAATACAAAACTAGTAAAAACTTGCAAAGAGTAGTTGTTTCACCGTTTTGACGTTCTGTTCAGTTTTAAACTCTTTGCTTTACACGTAAGCACTTACACAGTCCGGTACATCATTAATATTTTGATTTCCACTCATTTTACTTTTGTTTATGCTTAACCATTTCAACAAATGGCGACTTTTGACACTTATTCTTCTTCTTCCGCTAGCTAATTTCTGCTGGTAAAAATTTCACTAGCAAGAATTTGCACATCTCCCGTGTTATTACGCTCTCCATTCGGTGCTCTATTGGAAATTTTTTGGGTTATTATACACTTTTCCAGTAAAAATTTGCAAGTTCCAGTACTGACTATTTGTTACTATACACACCTAATATATACAACGAGTTGTGAGCACTTCAAATTGCATGTTGTTTTAGTAATTTACACTGAGAAAAGAGTTCAGTTACGTAAGTATGTTTCTCTCAGAACATGATTTGGTAATCGTCACATGATTAAGTTATAGTTACCAAATCTTGTGTTGAAAGAAAAATATTTAGCAGATTTGACTTATAAGTTTAAGCTTGACAACATTAGCCAGAAAGTTGTTGCTGCTTGAAGAAAAACATTTTATTCAAAAAACGGCAAAAAATATTGTAGACTGTTGTAAAATTTTAGCTTATAAGACAAATAGGATAACTTCTGAATTACATAATACCTTACAATATTTACAATTTACAAGACCAAATTTAAAAGGTGCGAACCAAAACTTATTGTGCGAATATATGACCGCCTAACTAATGTTCAAAGTAAATGCACTTGCAGTGCGCATAAACAACACAGAAGGGCCAAACCGAGCAAATGAATGGCCGCACAAAAGGGAGATTACAAAAATCCAAGCAACCGGGCTTTCTCAGTAGATGGCACTACTAATCCACACAAGAAATGTGCAAGTCATATCGATGGCTGAGTGGAAGATCGACCTATCTCGGCAGTCAGTTCGAAAACGACCTATCTCAGAAATCTTTTCAAGAGCGCCCAACTTTGGAATTTGATTGAAGAACGCCCTATTTCAGAATTTTATTGGGAAACCCCCTATCTCAGAATTTGGTTGAAAACGCCCTATATTAGAATTCGGTTCAAAAACGACCTATCTCAAACGAAAATACATTGAAAATTTGCTGAGATAGGGCGTTCTTAAATTCTGAAGTAGAGCGTTATTGAAAAATTTTCTGAGATAGGGCGTTTTCGAACTGGCTGCCGATATAGGTCGATCTTCCACTCAGCCATCGATACGTTATACTACTAGGGATGATTGAAAAACACGATGGAGGTGCTGTTTAGTTGCAGGTTTGTCATGCAGAAAATCGATTTTTTTTATTTGCTTTTTATTTAATTTTTTTGATTTGATTTATCTATTTTATTACATTCCATATTTGTTTCCATATTCTTCTGTAGGAGGTCCCATATTCGGACTCCGTCAGACATAACTTCAAAATGATAATATGAAATTTCGATCTTCCTTTTATTTGTCCTCAATTCGAAAAAGTATTTGCGAATAGAAACGCGTTTAAAGAAAACAATCTCGAGCATAACTCCTGCATTACTTGTCAACTAGTTTCAAGTTAGCTTTTTGCAGCTAACTAAAATTTATATATTTTATAGAAATCCCGCAAAAAAGCTAACTACAAGTGGGTTATTTTTTATCAATTGATAATTTTTTTCTGCAGGGATAGTATAGATCAAGGGTGGCCATTTCATAGGCACGCGTGCCAAATTTTTCTCTTCTGCTTTCACACGACATGAGAAAAACTGCGCTGATTTCACACGCATACATGAGCATACTCTATGAATCAGTGATGCCGAAGGTTATGGTTTTGGTGTGATCGTGCTTAATCGATGCGAAACTTTCAAACAATCAAGTCGCTGCAAGACACGGTAAAAATGTTTAATATGGATTCGGATGTAGATTTTTTACTCACTAGTAATGGGACGGGAGGGCACAATGTTTGGAGTGTAATGAAGAAATCGCACGGGCGACAAACTTTTTTGTTACGCGTCATTATAGCGCCATTTCCCCTTATTCCCAAATATTGAATTAATAAAGTATTACGTACATATGCACATAAATAAAAAGATAAATTAAAAATAATGCTAGAAAATCCCTTTTCTTTTAATTCAAAATAAGAAGATTAATATAAATTAATTCAACTATTTGCTTTAATTTTAATTTTAATTATAATATAAAATCTAATCAAGCAATGCAACTGCATAACTACACGTTTCGGGTGCTCAGTGATATATTTACGTATGTACAGTATCGGTCATACCAATAACACCCCCTTTCAAAGTGAGATTGTTTACCACTTTTGTTTATTTAATTTTTTTTTTAGTCTGATTAAAAGGTAAAAAATTTTGATGAAAAATCGTTAATTTTAACTTTGTTTTGTGTGAAAACAAGGTTTATATGATTTTGTTTTAAGCATGATCATTTTTTTCTATAAAATAATAACAAACAAATTTTTACTCTCAATATATTATGAATATTTAAAAAAGAAATGGTGTACGCAGACTTTTGCTGTTAAGTGCAGCTTAACTAGATTTTATGGTTGTATTTTGCATTAAATTTTATACGTACGCATATATTAGTTAGGTTTGAGAAGCTCTCCTTTCATATAATAAATAGCCTAAATAGCCTAGGAACGTACTTGTTTATTTAAAGTGAAAACTATTTCATAAGTAACAAAACGAAAGACAGTAATTAAATCTATATGCATTTAATAATACTTTAGCATGTACATATATGATAAAGTAACTTAAAGTATGTCGAAAAAAGCTTGATGCAAAAAAATTAAGTCGAAAAATGTATTTTCTGGTTCAGAGAAGTTCATAATACTAGTGGCAGAAATAAAAGAAGCGCCTTATTTCGACCAGTTTTATCTATATTGCTTTTGTTTATTGATTATTTAAATTTTTTTATAAAAGTCTACCTCATATTACATATAATTAAATACGTATAAATGAGCATTTCTCTGACGTCATGATTTTTATAAAAAGACTATTTTTGGTTTCACAAGGACCAATAGGAATGCCCCTTTAATCTATTTAATTTTTTTATGCTAGTCCTTTTTAAAAATAAGAATTGCAAAATTTCAAAGATATTCAAGGATAAAATTATAAAAGGGTATTTTTAATACCTACTCGTCCCTTACGCACCAAAAAATGTAATCTGTTCTAACTTTGCAGAATCTTCTCTTTAATTTGATACCCATACTGGTTTTTTGAGTTTGCACATTGCATTGAATTTTTTAAATAATTTTTTGAATTACTCATATGTTTCAAATTTCAAAAATTAAGAACGTAATTTTACTGTATTTGGCTCTTGGTTTCGCGAATATATTGCTTTTTTGTGTGTAAAATTGCCTGTTGCAAGGTATTATATGCATATTGGCGTGGACCGAAAATCCGCTTTTTTATAATTTTGATTGGTAATAGCAAAAATATGGTTCATTATGCTTTAAGAAAAATCTGTGTGAAAATTGTAATTTTTCGGTCGATATCGTCGGCTCGCCCAAGTCCATCAAAGTTGAATATGCTCATAAAATAAAAAATAATAAATTAATAATTTAATACATTTTTTTTATTAAAATTGCAATAATCTTCGAAAGTATTAGTAAAAA